CTGGTAATAATAGATGGATGAGCAGGGTGGCAATCTAGGATTAGGGCCATGGTCAGGAAGATGTGCCAGGTGTGCGGGAATTTATTTTGTCATTTTAACAACCTGCGCGGTGCGCCATACTACGTTGGTAAAGAAATGCGCCGTGCACCGTACTTTAGAAAGCTAAAATAGTTCTACTATTTTAGTCGACAATATACGCAAGTATATNGTATCAAGATTGCAGCTCTGCCACCAGCCTTCATTGAATTATCCCGCCTTTTTTCTAAAATTCAATAATCTCTCTTCCAGCAAAGTTTGCAAAATTCATTAGCTGCATAAAATACTCTCTGCTGTGGTGTTCAAGTTCCGGTTGACATGAAAACTTGCGGTTCCAAAAATGGCGGGAAAGCTCTAATCGCGCCGCTCTGAAGCAATTCATATAAATAATAATATAATCCACGCCTACGCTGCAGGAAGTTCAAACTTCAGAGGTGGAACTAAATGCAGTAAATTTGCAGTAAGTCAGAAAATACCAGAAAAATACCAGATTTAGGCATATGTACCAGATCTAAATTATTCATACCAGACACCTTTTGAAAATACCATATTTGTGAAATCTGGTATAGAAATATACCATCTGGCAATGCTGGTTCAGCGTTACTTGAAATCATCTACAGATGATGTTGCCATTCCATTCAGATGAAAACTGTGTCTAAATCAGAACTGTGTCGGACGGCTCCGCGGCCCGCGCCGAGTGCTGCGCGGCGCGGAATCGATGACCGTGATTTGCACGAACGCCTGCGCCAAAAAAATATAATTAGATTGATTTACGCGAGAAATTTCCCCGTTTATATACATCTTCCTGAGTGTGGATACAGTCTGACCGCTTTGACATGACCGCAACTATGCGCGATCTTCAACAAATGTTTTGTTTATTTGTTTACATTACGATGTTTATGTTTTTTCTGCAAGATATTTTTGGCGGAAACGGTAAAGCAATGCGGATTGCAAAAGTTGAAAATTTTATGAAATGACATTTTTGCGAAGTGCAAACCACGATTTTTTAATCAAACAAAAATTTATGACATTCGAACCGCGAGATTTAATACCTACTGAAATTATATGATATTAGAGCCGCGATATTTCAGAAAAAAATAGGACTTTTCCAGACTAGCATACGGTTACTACGGTAATCGTAAACTGCGGCTGTTATACATACGAAATGTAAACAGACGGTGTTCAGTGTTGCCATATGACTTTGGAGAAAATTTCTTCTAAAATAAAGATGGCCGGCGCCCGGCAGTGTGGAATTCTGTATAGGTAATATATTCTCATGTCAATTTAAGAAAACGTATCAAAATACCAACCCTACCACCGCGTTACACCACCTTCCACTGCAATGAAAATTGATGAACTGAGCACATTTGAAACGGCTGTACTTCCGAAATTGCGTGTGGTTTGAAATCCAATCCCGTGTTGCCAACAACTAATCAAGTTAACTAGTCGTTTATCTGTAGGCTAGCGGACACATTTTTGCAATTAATACTTTCTAAAATAAAATAAAACACATCCAGCTTCATAAAAAATTCTCACGATTGGACAACACCCACAAAGTTTTCGATTTCACATAAAATTATGAGATAAACTTCGACTCTTTCAGTGCATACATTCACATGGTGTTTTCTGTTTACTTCTCACAAGACTGTGTCACACACTTATGTTTTGGTTGTGTCTAGTTTTATTTCACAATAAATAGACTTGATTCACATTCCATTATGAGATTTAAATGATTGAAATTTTTTTTTAAATTATAAAAACCTATTTATACGTTCTAGATTTGAATTTTTTGCCCTATTATGTTGAATTTATCTTGATCAATTCACTTCAAATTCTGAATGATTTTGTCTGCCATCATAGGTACTTTATAGAAACTGAGCAAGTTAGCGTGCGTGTTTTAAGCCTTTAAGAAGTTCATTTTTTGCCTCAAATAACAATGTTGGATAGAAGAAGTGGTCTTGGTGGATCGAAATAATATATGAACCTCCGAAATTAGAATTCCATCCTGATGGCCGGGATTGCGTGAACATGTGCGCCAAGATAATCAATTTTCATTACATTGCGCGAACTGTGCACAGCAATAGCTTAAAAAAAGTGAAAATGCGCGGGAAAATTCACCAAAAACATACATCATCCTGAGTGTGGGATTATGGCAAGTTCTTCTTTAGACGTGTTCACAATTTCTCATACACTCATTCACATTGGTTTTATATATATTTATAAATATATATGTAAATAGGTTACAACACAGAAATTTTAAACAGAAAATGACTGAAAAGTGAAAACTATCTCAAATTTCAGAAATTTTGGTAGTTTGCAAACAGATAGCTGAAATTGGCCAGCAATGGTTGATCAGTTAATATTGGGTGCTGGGTGGCACCCATTAAATGGGTGCCATTCCACACTCAGGATGATGTATGTTTTCAGTGGATTTTCCCGCGCATTTTCACTTTTTTTAAGCTATTGCTGTGCACAGTTGGCGCATTGTAATGAAAATTGATTCTCTTCGCGCACGTGTTCGTGCAATCCCGGCCATCAATTCTACGTCGCGCTGCCGCGCATGAGCAGTTTGTGGAGTGGAGGAACAGATGTAATACTCACATTACTCAGTACCATAGTGGCAATTGCCTTGGCAAAGCCGAGAGTTTTTTTAGACTCTCCCTCAAGTTCATTTTTGAGTCCTATAAGTAGTTGAAGTAGACCAGCAAAGTATCCTGGATACCAGCATTATGATACATAAGAAAGCGGTTTAAATCTTGAGTTAATGAGGAAATTAAAAATGAGCTGATTCTAAAAAATCTCTGGTTTGTCACTATGCTCAGTACAGTCCATGGTCAGGAAGATGTGCCAGGTGCGCGGGAATTTATTTTGTCATTAAACGACCTGCACGGTGCGCCGTACTACGTTGGTAAAGAAATGCGCCGTGCGCCGTACTTTAGAAAGCTAAAATAGTTCTACTATTTTAGTCGACAATATACGCGAGTATACTGACTACGCGAGTCGAACTGACAATAATAAAATGTAAGACATGTCTGGGTTACTTCTGACTCTTCCGGTTGTCCGCCTTCTAAAATGAAGATGGCCGGGATTGCACAAACACGTGCGCGAAGATAATCAATTTTCATTACATTGCGCCAACTGTGCACAGCAATAGCTTAAAAAAAGTGAAAATGCGCGGGAAAATTCACCGAAAACATACATCATCCTGAGTGTGGAGTACAGTATGCCTTTAATTATCTTTCAATAATATATGATTTTTCTTGTTACGGAAATTTGGTGAATGAGAAATCTAGAACTTTATTTTAGAAGAAATTTTCTCCAAAGTCATATGGCAACACTGAACACCGTCTGTTTACATTTCGTATGTATAATAGCCGCAGTTTACGATTACCGTACATTCCGTATCCGACAAGGCGGACAAGCGGAAGAGTCAGAAGTAACCCGGACATGTCTTACATTTTATTATTGTCAGTTCGACTCGCGTAGTCAATATACTCGCGTATATTGTCAACTAAAATAGTAGAACTATTGAAAAACTAGAACTATAATAGTAGAACTATTTTAGCTTTCTAAAGTACGGCGCACGGCGCATTTTTTTACCAGCATAGCACGGCACACCGCGCAGGTCATTAAAATGACAAAATAAATTCCTGCGCACCTGGCACATCTTCCTGACCATGGGTGCCATTGAGACAGTCTCAATCGTCAGTTAGCAGGTAAGACTGTGATAATGATTAGTTGACACTTTTTAATGAGTTATTTAAGATGAAAAAAACCTTTGGCTAGACCTAACCTTAGTAAAATTGTAAAAAAGTTTGTAAAAAAACTATTTTTTACACCTTTAACCCTAATCTAACAAGGTTTTTGTTAATTAGCATGTCTCGGAATAGTGTTCATCTTTTTTTGTGACGCATTATTAGCCTCCCACTCCCTGACAGCATCGTTGATGCTCCGAGTATGAACACCTTCAAGAACAGACTAGACAAAGCTTTGCAGGAGCATATGTTCAGTCTTAAAAGGCTGAGCTACTTACGAACCAGGCAATAAGTCCAGCAGCTATCTCAATCAATCATCAGTTATGGAAGATCAGGTTCCAAAGGTCGGATCTCTTGTGAATCACGTCATGAAGAGTACAAGAATCAGCAACAGGCCATGGGCCTATTTCTTCACTGCTGACACTTCTATTCTATTCTAAAAACTAATCATAGGTAGATTCTGCCACATGGGTACATTCCAATACAGTAATTGTGTGACATTTTGTTGCACAATATGCCAAAAATGTCACATTATTGTTGAAAGTATGAGTAATGTTTTGATTGAATAACTTGACAACACGGTTTTTGGAAAATGTGATGAAATGTGTTGCACAATAACCCTACGTCCCTACTTATTGGTTATATATATATACCGTAACTTGATTGAATTTATATATAATATATATGTTGAATATTTATAAAATATATTCAACTTACTGATGATGACTGGATTTTATTATGGGTGAGCAGAGGTGCTGAGTGTGAAAAGAGTACACAAAGCATTTATGAGTATTTTATTTGTAATGGGAGTTGGAAAGTGTGAAGGAAATTTTGCTGTCTGAGGCACAACTGTTTCATTTTTTCCTATTCAAATTCCTAAGCATACTTTGATGCTATGCTATTCATGATATAATGGAGAGATGAATGATGTTTGACACAAGCATGATAATATAGCCTCAAACACAAGCTTGTAAACAAAATAGGCCTTTTTACCTTGGGATTTTTAGTTACAATATATGTACAGTAACTTTCCCACAAAGAGCCTAAGAGGCTCAAAAATTTCCAGCATAGTTAATATTCTATAATGCTAAACATAGACTGTTCTATGCCTCCTGAACTTTCACGTTAGCTGACTCACATGGTACCAAAATGTGGATTCATACATTTAACCATGATTTTTTATTGTTTTAGCATTGTTTGAAGCTGTGCAAGTTACCTACAAGTTCAATTATTACAGAACAATTGTATTGATAGCACAATGAATTTGAATAGCTCAAAGATAGTGTAATGATCTCTCTGATTGTGTAATGAATGTATATGTAGTTCTTGTGTAGTGGTTTGCCAGGGAGATAAAATAAGCTTGAATCATGACTGGCAATTGCCGCTATACCATCAATATGGCCAACTCTATTGTTGGAGTGTCCATACTGTCAATGCCTTACTGCTTCAAAGAGGTAAGATTTCTTTCTATTTTCTCCTCTCACTATTTATAAATTTTCATTATAATAAATTTTCATAGGAATGGTTCAACTACACGTACCATTTTCATATGTTTTTAAATCATAAAATATGTATTTTGTCTATTCATTTATGATATATTTCAGGAAAAATTACATGTGCAATTTTGAGATAATGAGAATGGGGACAAATTTTGCAGGTTGGCCTTCTACTTGGAGTCATCTTGTTAGTTTTCTGTTCATTCATCACTAAGAAGACGTGCATGTACCTCATCCGTGCTGCCATCATGTCAAGAAGACGCAGCTACGAGTTCTTAGGTAATTCATTTCAGTAGTTATTCCTATCTTTGTTGAATAGATCTGAGAAGTAACTATGAAGAGAGCATGCATGAATATTTGTAAATATACTAATGAACTTGATAACTTTGTGCTAGCTGCATTTTTTTATGGAAATCTTGGCTACATGACTACCTACTGTGTGCAATACAACATAAGAATTTCTGAAAAAATATTAGAAATTTCCTATGGAATGGTGGTACTTATACTAAAGGTCTACAATGTAACTTGCTGAACTTTTTTCTTTGATTAATTCTCTGATTTCTTTCAGCATCAGAGAGTGGTATGTAATTTCAACATCTAGCTATGTGTTGGTTGCTGATCAAATTCATAATGGAATTTTTAATTGGGAACAACTTACAGTTTTTTTTAATTTCAGGGTTCCCACCTAATCTATGATTGCAATCAACCTTTTTACCCCTAGGCCTCTAGAACATAAAAAATCTCTATCATTTTCCACATGACAACCTCACTTATTTCTGTTACATATTACAATGAATAACAAAGTTTGCTATTGCATTCTGTATTCAATGTTTTTTTTTATCTGATCAAGAATCACAGTTATGTTAAAAATGTCTACCTATGTTTGTCCATTTTAGTTTTTGACTGTAATATATATATATTTACTTACCACAAAAGCTACGTATACTATACCAGCATATTTAATGAGTGGATATCACACAGTGTAATGGGTCATCTTTATTGGTTAAAAGAGGAAGGGTATTCAAGGTTCTTTAAATTCCAAGGGGGATAAATAAAAGATGGCCTCCCAACTCCCATTATAGCCATCCCTGTCTGCCAGATGTTTTTTCTCTTTAGTTCAACTTTATTTTTACTCTAGTACAATACATAATTACTAAGGGACTTGAAATTAACCTAACTGTAAACTAAACGATTCATCAACCTAATACAATCAAAACCACCTCTGGCCCAACAAGGAATCCTAACATACAAACCTAACTGACAAAGCAAACCGGCAAACGGGTAAACCGACTGGTTAACCAATATGGCCTAAACTTAACCCAAAAACCAAAATGGGTACCTACTATCTCCCAGGTAAGCCAGGTAAGCAAACCCCCAGGTAAGCAAATCCACCCATGCCCCTAACCCCCAGGCTAGCAAACTGGTGCATGGGTTGCTTTATAGAGCACTTGAAGATGCTGCTTTAAAATATATACATTATCAACATGAAACACAAACATTATGAAACACAAACATCAAAATTAACTTCAAAACATAGGTATATATGAACAGAAAACTATAAATAAGGTAGAATTTTTATCTACAACATCATTATATCAAAGCCTCTGCATTGAAATATTCATCAAGGAATATACTGGCAGCGATTTAAGAAGGTACCTATGTAGTATGTATTGGCAAACAGTGAAAACTACTCACCAATCTCAGATTGGTGATGGTATTAGGCAACTGGCAATAGATTTTCAGTTTTACCATCAACCCTGACATGTAAAATAATGGTCTGCAAGAATGGCAGAGAGAGTGAGATGGAGAGCACTGATAAATACAAAAATAGGTAACATTCAATATGAATGTCAAAATTCAACCTAATTTAATATTAACTCAGAACAGGAGGAGCATTATATACCTACTTGCCTTAGTGGGGTCCAGGTAACCATCACTCTCCAGCAGTAAAAGTGACAGCCCATAACAATGGCAAAGGAAACAGTACACTTATAAATAAATAGTAAATTTCATCAAAAATGCTTTCCACGCAATTATGTTTTTGAATAATTGTTTTTTTTTCAGCATTAAGTGCATGGGGCGGACCTGGGAAATTGGTTGTGGAGATTGCCATGGTGCTCTTCCTGGTGGGCATTGGAGTGAGCTTCCATGTCGTCATGGGTGATCTCCTACCCAATATTGTGGCGTCTGCTCTGCAAATTAACATCAGCGCCGGACTACGTGCTTCTCTGCTGCTTGGTACTATCTCCTATAGGATATTGATACATGCATTTTCTTTACTTCGATACATGCATTTCTTTGTTTTTGGAATTTTTTGATGCACAAAATATGAGTGAAGGTATCAAGTAAAGATATTCATTTAATATATTTATATATATTACAGGCTCGTAAAAACTTTTTGGGAATAACTTGTTGAAAAGATAGCGAAATTTATGCCTTTACTAATAGCTGAAAAATTCGAAAGCAGTTATAAATATTAACCTTTTATGGCTTCCAGTTATCTGGTTATTGACCTGTTATTGTTGACTTCTCATTAAAAACTGATTTTCAAGGCCCCTTGTGCCACAGGCTGGAAAACATTTTGGTTTTATTTCTTTAGAAACTTGAATTACCATCAATGTGGAACTAATTTTAGCCTTTAATCAGGAAATTTATTCTTCTTGCAAATTTTACCCTCTTCAGTATTAAATAACTAAAAATGGTAACTTAACCTGAAGGGCCTGCAATTATGGCCCTGGCCCAACTAGCTAACTTTTAAAATGAATATTAAACATTTTAAAGAATTGAAATAATTCTTTGATTGTGAAATTTTGACTAATTAGATGAAAAATAATGACGACAATCATCATTGTAGTGAAATTTGCATAGTAAGGCCAGTACTTAAGTGTAAAGATTGTATGAATTGCGTGCAGGTATTGTGCTGCTCGTAGTTCTTCCTCTATGTCTGCTGCGCAACATAGACAGTCTCGCCTCCATGTCCACCTGCTCCATATGCTTCTATGTCGCCCTCGTTGCTGTGGTGAGCATTGCTCTAGTGAAATTTTTGTGCGCTCAACACTTGAATATGTTTGCACCTTCCAAATTGTCATTGAATTGGTGTAGTCAGCCATATAATTGATGGGACCTTCATAACAATTTTTGTACCTCTTACATTACTATTGCCGAATGATTATATTAATTCAAATACATTTTATAATGACATTGCATTTGAAAGATGTAAACAGAATGTTTCTTCAGATAATTGGCTATAGAACAGGAAATAAAATGTTAAATAAATGAAGTAGATTTGTACAATTATGTTAAATAAATGAAGTAGATTTGTACAATTGAATGTTAACATTTTATATATACCACATGCCTTGAGTGTCCAGCTTCATAAGGTTTAATGCTGCCCCAGATCATGGGACACGCCCTGCCGCGGGTGCTGGACGGGTCGTGGCTGGAGGGCGCCGTCTGGGCAAACTGGAGCAACGTCTTCCAAGTCCTGCCTATCATGTGCCTCGCCCTCGCCTGCCAGAGGTGGGTGCCTCGCCCTCGCCTGCCAGAGGTGGGTGCCTCGCCCTCGCCTGTCAGAGGTGGGTGCCTCGCCCTCGCCTGTCAGAGGTGGGTGCCTCGCCCTCGCCTGCCAGAGGTGGCTGCAAAAAAAATCTGAACAAATTGTCATCATACTAACTTCCTGCTGATATTTACTCATTTCAACAATTGATGCCTGTTGACCTATTTACTTATTATTAAATCTCTACTTGCATTCATTTAAATGCCTGCGTAATTTACCAAATTTTATAAAATGCAATGACATTGCGGTTATGTATGATTAATTTGGTGCTTTGGCCAACGTCCTTAACAATACCTATCCCAGCCTTGAAGAACATTGTTACTGAATATAGCTGGTTACTCTAAGTAAACAGCTTAAGAACATAGTTTAGTTATGATAGTCGCTACTTAGTGGCATATGAGAGATTTTCTAGAAATCGGTTCATTTTTAATTCCCTCTTGTCGTTCAAGATATTATTCAATATCTTAGGATAATGCTGGTTTGCTTAAGTTTTGCATTGGCCTCATTTTCGACAGAAAAACAAGATTATAGTTATTCTTTCAATCGATAAAACAATTGATCCATCCGACCTTTATCACTATCCAATCCAACATACAATGTGTACGTCATTGCAGCAATGTGTTCGAGATCTACGACTCACTGCCTGACGCGAACGTGAGCAAGATGCGTGATGTGGTGTCGGGGGCGATGAACCTCAGTGCGACGCTCTACGCATTCGTCGGCATCTTTGGCTGCATTGCTTTTGGCCACAGCGATAAGTTTGGAGGCAAGTTTTTTATTTGTATTGCTGCCAAACATCGCAATTTGTTGCATAAATAATTAATGAATCCCAAAAAAATGATTACCTAAGAAGAAAATTCTAGATTGTTATCATGGAAGGTTGATTTTTTATGACATTAATATTATTTGTCATGTGAAGCAAAAGTTCCTATGAAGAATGCTATGCTGGAATGATTATGGTGCTGCAGGCAATGTGATCCTGGCGTTCCCAGCCACCCGCCTGACTGAGGCTATCAAACTCTTCTTCGTGGCGTCCATCGCAATAAGCTTCCCTCTGCTGCTCTTCCCTTGCCGCACCAGCATCTACTCCCTGCTCTACAGACGGGTAAGCTGCTGCTATTGTCCCCTATATATATTCACCGAGTTTCTATTTTTATTACCGTACATGAATTTTACAATTTATCTAACGAGTGCAACGTTGTCTTCTGCTTTAATAATACAATTTACAATCTTTATGTGCTTGAATGACCGGGAAGCCTAATTTATGGTAACACAAGAACCATAGTTTCATTCTCACTCCATAACCACAAGAGCGTCAGGGACAGACCAGCAATGAAATACCTATATTGTGCTGAGTTTTCATGTGCTTATTTCTCCGTTTCCGTATTCTTATTAAAAACTGGTGTGTTATTTCTTGTTTTCTGATCGTTTAACAGACAAATAATTTGTGTTTGCTTCAATTGAAACAAGTGCATTGATGATTTTGTTTGTTTTTGACAGAATTTGTCACTCTCCCAAGACCTTGTAGGGAACTACATGCCGGAGACGCGCTTCAAACTCATCACATTCGTGGTGCTTGGTGCCACTCTCTGCATTGGCATCCTTCTTCCTAATATTGGTCTGTAGTCTACTAAACGTGGGCCAAGCTAATCATCTCTTGGTTGTTGCATGAAACTACTGCTTTCTTTGAAATATGACTGACTTTAATATCAATGCTAGTCTTTAAGATACCAAAAGGATGGATATACGGTAGTCATCATGGAAGCCCTTCTCAATCAATTTTGAACACCACCTTCTCATTGAACTCAATGAAACACACCAAAGCTAGTCGTTAAGATACCAAAAGGATGGATATAGTCATCATGGAAGCCCTTCTTAATCAATTGAACACCATCTTCTCAATGAAGTTTGAACACATTTCTCCAATCATGATAGCTTTTCTCAATAAAGGTTAAACACATTATCATGGATCATATCCTATAATTTGTTCACTGAAGTTCATAGGTGGTGGTTGATGTCGCTGACTTGACATATCTCGAGTGCAGAGTTCGTGCTGGGTCTGCTGGGGTCCACGCTGGGGGCCCTCATCTCGCTGATATTCCCTGCACTGCTCTTCATCCGCATGCACTCGAAGCTCTCCCTGGACCGGCTACTGGCGCAGGTGTCGTGTGTGACTTGTTACGGTCTTGTGACTAGTTTCTGTGGTTGTTGTGGCTAGTTACTGCCCTTGTTGTGACTAGTTACTGCCCTTGTGACTAGTTACTGACCTTGTTGTGACTAGTTACTGCCCTTGTTGTGACTAGTTACTGCCCTTGTTGTGACTAGTTACTGCCCTTGTTGTGACTAGTTACTGCCCTTGTTGTGACTAGTTACTGCCCTTTGTTGTGACTAGTTACTGCCCTTGTTGTGACTAGTTACTGCCCTTGTTGTGACTAGTTACTGCCCTTGTTGCGACTAATTGCCTTAAATCAAATGACCAGCTACCGTACTTATTGTAACTTGTTACTCAGTTACTACCACTATTGTGTGCCTATTTACTTCCCTTTTGAGAGACTAGTTACTGCACATGCCGTGCAGTAGTTAGCCTCAGTAACACATGTGCTGTGGTGCAGGGCGTGCTGCTGCTGGGGGTGGTGGTGGTGGTGACGGGCTGCTACCAACACCTCGCCGCTGACTCTCCCCCTCACCAAGACCTGCCCTCCGTCCGCCTGCCCCCCTTCAGGCCGCCGCCCTTCCCTGCTGCCCCTCTGCCCAGTAAGTCCCGCCCTTCTGGTACTCCCTAATAAATTACGGTACTTGGTCTACAGTGGCGCTTTAGAAAACACGACGATGCCACTGCACCATCCGGTGATAAAAACGCTTCAAAACTGATGAGAAGTGCATTCATTTTTTGTTGCTTGGTGTAACTGAATTTTTTAGATTTTAATCTTGCTGCAAATTTCATATACGATATCATATCATTTGAATACGTATCAAGTTTTGTTGGAGCGTGGCGACCTAATTAAGAGGGCGACTGCAGTATCATTGACGGATTAAAATGATGAACGATCTTGTGCGGTGACAATTCATAATATGACAACCGAAGATTGCAACTTCACGCATGACTTGAACGTAAAGTCAATGTAAAGTACCTATCTTAAACATTTTGCAAATCACATAAATCGAAGTTATTGGCTAAAAAAGGGTACCTACAACGAAATTTTGCTAATCTACTAATATATTGAATAGAAAAAGATGAGCATTGCATTTATTGAAATAAAAAAGTGAAAGGCATGCAACAAAATGGTCAGGAAAAAGACTAACGTTGTTAAGATACCAGCAGATTTTGTCTTGGATAAACTTCTCCTTGACATTGATCTAAATCAAATTTTTTCAATTATTGCTTAGCTTGTACTACTACCTATCTTATTATTTTGTTAATTAATCAATCTTCATGAGAAGCATTTCCCTTTTCCCACACTTGTATTTCTTAACGTAAGTTGTAAAATAAATTGTAATTTTTGTTGTTCAAGAAATCATCTCTTGCTATTCATTACCGTATTATATCATTAATTCATCTTGTATTTGCTTTTTTTGACATTTTTCATGACATTTTTTAAATATTATTCCGCAGACATCTACGGTACACTTCCACTTGGAAGAATGTTGATGTAAAGGTTAAAAAAAAATTCACCAAATAATAATCAGTTTCCTCAAAATTACACTGATGACTTCGCTAAATTCTCGAACGTTTCACTGACGTTCGATGAAATTCTTCCTCATGTCACGTTTTTCTGACCCGCGACCGCTGCTGCAGGTGAAGCTGATGGAGAACTGCGGAGGCTGGAGCCCGTGGCACCCGAGCCTCCTGTGGTAGACAAACAGGATCCCCCAGGTGACAACAAACAAGGGGGAGACTTCGACGAACATATTTCCCCAGTTGAACTCAAAAAAGAGGGAGGTATCGACAAACAGGATCCCCCAGTCGACCTCGAGGAAAGAGAGCTGCGAGCGGGACAAGCAGAGAGTAAACTGCAATTGCCAGAATCTCGGAATCGTTCCAAGCCTTTCGCCAAGACCAGTAAAAAGCAAGCGTCAAGATTCAAAAAAGAAAATGAAGTTGCAAAGAAAGAAGAAGTCGAAGCTGACAAAGAGCGAGAAGATGATTTGAAAGACAAGCTACACCGAGACAAAGAGAATGAAATAGGAAAACAAAGTCAGGAAGAATCGAAGGACAATAACGGTAAGCTTAATGCATTTTGAAACTTGAATTAAAACAGATTTGACTTAGGTATGCATTATTCGTACTTAAGTGTCTTTTATTATCAATCATAAGAAGTACTGCGGGTTAACGCTTGAAGTTGAAATTTAAACCTCTTTTATCAAAACTGTGCTTATATGAACATTTATTTTGATTACGCCTAATTTTCGTGATTACATAAGTGCACGGTATGTAATTATGTGCATTGGGTGATGTTACAAATTCTTCAAACATTGGTTTTAAATATTATGTGGTATTGAAGGAGTGTTATTTATGTTTCCAGTCGAGAAAGAAGATGACCTTGCCCGACAAGAAAAGCTGTTGCAAGAAATGGCTGAGCAGAACAAGGAGCACCAGAGAATTTTGGCGGAAGAGAAGGTGCTTCTCAAGCAGCTGCAAGAGCAGCAGCAGCAGCTTCCAGTTAATGTCGCGGCACAACAGCTGGTCGTATCTCCACAGCAACTGCCCCTTCCTGCTGATAATCTACAGCAACAACTAGATGTTCAACTACAGCCTTTCTTTGTCCAACAGCAAAATGTCCTATCCCAACAGCAGCCGATCGTGGCCCAACAGCAGCCGATCGTGGCCCAACAGCAGCCGATCGTGGCCCAACAGCAGCCGATCGAGGCCCAACAGCAGCCGATCGTGGCCCAACAGCAGCCGATCGTGGCCCAGCAGCAGCCGATCGTGGCCCAGCAGCAGCCGGTCGTGGACCAACAGCAGCAGGTCGTGGCCCAGCAGCAGCCGCCGATCGTGGCCCAGCAGCAGCCGGTCGTGGCCCAACAGCAGCCGGTCGTGGCCCAACAGCAGCCGATGGTTGCCCAGCAGCAGCCGATCGTGGCCCAACAGCAGCCGGTCGTGGACCAACAGCAGCCGATGATTGCCCAGCAGCCATCCAGCGCCTCCCCGAAAAGTTCCCCCGCAGTTGTCAAGGCTGGACACGACGAAGAGAGACGCCGGCGTCGGCACGCCCCTGTGATGCCAGAGGCCGGCGTCAGCGCTCCTCTACTGGACAACTCGCTGCTGTCCCTCAACGCAGCCCTCATGGTGAGCTGCGTATTGGTTAATAATGTTCCACAAGCACGTGCGTGGTATGCCTTGTGTCCTTGCTGGTTATCTCCAATTCAATGCCAGTCTTTATCAATTCATTTGTTTACTTAGCTACGTTTTTCACTGTTAGTAAGAACTTCTACAGCATGGAGAAATAGTGGAAATAATACACCATTATCTCATTTTTTCTACGTACCTCTGAATTTTTTGTAACGTCATCGCCTTTAGGCTATCCCTCGATATCATTTAAACTCAAATTTAAATGTCTTTACGCCAAAGCCTAAATTTTCCTTGATATGCATCTTCCGCACATAAATACGAAAAATTAAGACGTCAATTCATCAATGTTTATTTACCGAGTTAAGAAGTACTTATATGTAATGGAGCTAACTTATATTGTCCTCGTCAATAATGTTAATTTTGTATTATATAGGAACAAAAATTTCATTTTTAAAACATTGCAATGACATTCGCTCGTCAAATGCTCATTTGAACCCTCAGGACCGAGGCGCGCTCGAGGGGATCGGCCTGCAGGCGCACCTCGCGTCGCCCCGCCAGCTGCTGTGGCTTAATCGCCGCAAGAAGAAGAGGCGGCCTCAGGACCCCGACTACCCTGACGAGATGTGAACAGCTCCACGCCAAGTAGAAGAGGCGGCCTCAGGACCCCGACTACCCTGACGAGATGTGAACAGCTTCACGCCAACACTCAGTAAAATAAGTGAGAACGTCTAAATTGTGATGCAATTTCGGCCCGTGCAAGGGTCGTCTTGGTCTAGTTTGGTCCGGCAGAAAGGTTTATCTGCGCCGTGGCCGGTCTCTGCTCGTGCTGTGGGCAAGAAGGCGCGTCATTATTAGGACAATATGACCCATCCGCTGTTTTTGAGTGAAGCATTGAAATCTGTATCAACTCTTCAACTCGTGATTGGTCTATGGCGTCCAGAGATCAACTTTCATGCGAAAGACTTTTTACTTTGTCACGAAGCTTCCATGTAAGAAAAATTTTGCACTGAAGATACAGATCAAATAGTAGCGTACAAATTCAGATAATTTGTGTCAAATTGTAATTTTTTACGTGTGTCCAATATTCGATTAGTTTGTGTGCAAGCGTGTTTAACTTGAAGGAAATTGCACAAAAGATGCAAGTGAGTGCAAGTGTTTTAATTTTCGTTGCGTTTGACCTGTCACTTCTGTGGTACGTACGCTGACGAGCTAATGATGCTTACTTATTTCTTCATATTGACGTCTCTGACTGTCTCTTACTTCTGCTCCTTGTGAGTGATGAATAATTCTTACTTTGGATAAAGTACCTATGGTTAACTTGCACTTTGTTTGTGATGAGTGATGATATTTGACGGTGTGAGAAAGACTGAAAGAAAACAGCTTTACTATCCAGGGCCTATACTTTCAAAAGAAGTTTAGAGAACGTAAGTTCATCGGCCAATCACTGGCGGCCTTTCAAGCAAAATCCACCAATCATTGACAGAAAAATAGAGCGTAAGTACTTACGTCCACTTAGCGAATTTTGAAAGTATGGCCCCAGCAGATCATCTGAGCTACAATACTCTTGTCATTCACAATGAGATTATCTATTATGAATTTGTTCTTGTAGATGTTACCTCCCTTGTAGATATCGGCCATCTGAACAAAATCTACGTAAGTAATGAAATACGAAGAAGTGATTTTGTTTAATTATTGGGCGTGCTTGTTTAATGCTGATCTCGCTTGCATGTGCAGGCCTGGGACTGACTTTGTTTAAGAGCAACAATTATTGTGTGCGAGGAGGTAACTCTCTTACTGCTAATTCATTTTGTATGTAATTAATATATTTTAGGAGACGTGAATTTCAGATCAGATCATTTCTGATGTAAATATTGCATAATGAGAAAATCTGTTATGTCATCATTTCGATAATGTTATGTCGTATGCCTGGTGAGACATGTCTATTTTTCTATTTTGTTTATATGTTTATCTATCTTTATAATACCTATCTCCTAGAAATTTATAATATCTAACTTTATACTATATATCTCTTAGAATCTTTTAATATCTATCTATATAATATCTATTTTCTAGAATCTTCTATTATAATTAAACATTATTCTCAGGGGTTTAAATTAGGCTAGTTCTGTTATATTTCTAGAAATTTTGGTTTTTAGCGTATCTTTTTATCGGTAGATACCGGTATTTCATTATTTTGTTTATTTATTAGGTATTTCAACTCTGTTTCATTAATTCGGAATATCTCACTTGAATTCGAAGCTAACATTTCATCTGTGGTAGGCCGATCGTACTAGAAAAGAACGGGATGTTTACCAAACGTTGTCGCTTTGTTCGCTCTTTGATAACGTTCGTAGCGTTTTTCAGCACTTCTAAGCAGAAACTCTTGGGGATTCTTTGGATATCTAACGATGCAATTGTGATTACAATTTCTCAAGGGATTGGTTGAAAATTCTTTGCATACCCGAAGTCGCGAAGTCAGAACTTTTAACATTTATGTCTGTTGAAGTGGTGCAAACTGAATTAGAAAACATCAGGCTATCTTTTATTTTGTATAGTTAGCCTTACAATTCAACGAAACCATTAAATTGATTGCACTTATTCTTCATCATTTGGTTTATGAAGCCTTTGATCAATCTAGTACTCTTAATATTATGAATTTATTTCACATTTTATTCTATTTAGTTGACAATATCTTATTTTTACGAACAGAAGAAACTATTAATTTTTCGACGATCCCGTCGTCGAAATATAAACCCATTTTCTTAGCTACGACGCAATTTTAATCGTGCTGACTTAGATTGAGTGTTTTGTTTTAATTTTTATACCACGATAAGTAGAATCTTGCAGAAGAAGGTTGAGCTACGGTCAATGAATCTCATGAAATTGCTTGTACTCGACTATATTTCTCTTCTGAATATTGTTCAGGGAAATTCGCCCTGTATTTTATGACTGAATGACGAAAGGTGAGATTGAGAGCTTCAATTAGACTCTTTTACAAAATATTTCAATTTTGTTTCTTATTACACTCGTGAGTTTGTGATAATATTTATGCACATTTTCTTTATTTTCATTTATATTCCCACCATGTCATTATTGTCACGGGTATTTTCCCCGTGTAGTTGTCATAGCTACTTCAACCATGTCATTGTCACGGTTATTCACTCCCTTGCAATGGACTAAACTTGCAGCAGTCTATGTGGTCAGGGGATGGCTAACTGCGGGCAGAGTTTATATGTGTTGTCCCTGCGTGTATGTATTCAGCGAGTCATTCACTGAGCTTGAGAAGCACTGCGTTGCAGGGCGTTAGTTTTTGCTGAGGGTTTTGATGTGGACTTGCTGCGGCTGTTGATTAGTTCAGTCACTTCAGTGCCAGTATATTAATTGGAAAAATTTAAACGTATGTCACTATCATAGAAGAGAACAATTTAAAAGTACGTCACTATTATAGAAAAGGCTGTGAATCAATTCATGTGAATAATTCTCTTTCTTCACGGTTGTGACGACAAATAGCGCCACATTAGTGAGGCGACCATTACTCTGATAGTGAGACTAATACTATTCAGAACGATATATTTGATCTTGTTTAAATATTAATGGAGGATTCAACGATCATTTCTTTGATCATAGTGACGAAAGTCTCTATCTATCCATGTATATATTAATGCATTGAACTGTCAGTTGAAGATCAGTTTCGTATAATTTCACTTTCCACAATCGCCTAATTTATCTCGAACTATCCTATAATGTCCATCCTACTTTGCTCTGCTCTATCTCTCAACTCATCCCATTGACTAGTTGGATCGTCTTCCAATCTTCGTCAGAATTTGCACACCTTACGCTAGCTACTGTAAGTTATGTACTTAAATGCTGATCTTAATACTTTTAAGTATCATGATTTTCATTGCCTAGATCACCGAATGTGAGGAGCTTGTAGAGGCGTGAAGTAGGTTCACGTGTGTGCTTCATTACATTTTATATTTACTTTATTTTTTTATAGCATTATTCCAGCAGAATTTACTAGGAATGTTAATCTCTGAAGCTTAATAATCTGGTTATCTCAAACCCTATAAATCTAAACCCATTTAATCATTTTGAAACTATACTTTACCGTAATTAAAGTTATGCTAAGCTAAACCCTCATTTAGTTGGGAGCGCCCAGTCAAGTCCTCTTTTGAATTGTAAAAAACTTGAACGCCTCCATTTTCAATGCCACAGTTGGTATTTCACAAAACAGAATCGAATTTCCATGTAATATCCCGACACGATTAGTTTCACGATTAGTACGCCCAATCATCCCCTATATATTTACAGTGCCAGGCTTCAAAACCCACGCACAAACTTGGACAAATAAATATTTAAGATTGATAAGTGCTAGGTTTTTGCATCTCGAGCATTAATTTCATGCATATCGAGGACATGCAACTAATGTGATGTAGATTATATACATTCCACGCATCCAAATTCACTTCTTCTGATGCCTTCTAAGCGCCAGGAGTTGCATTTTACCCCACAATCAATGACTATGTTTGATCGTTTCTCGTGTAAATTAGGCACGCCCCAATGCTAGGTCCTGGTTCGACGCCACAGTGATTGCGAGTGTTGCGTCTCGAAAACTTTGTAATGAAGCACAGAAATGCGATGCTTTATTTGCCTAGAACAAATATAATTCAGCGAGTGTCCGATCCTTACTAGTATATGAGCCTTTTGGACACACGTCACACCCCCTGCACTTGTTATTTGTCTCGCAGGAGTAAAGAACAGCACTCAATTCTGTTCCTAAATTCTTCTTGTTTTGTGTTTACTTTTGTTTTAACAAGGAATATTATCACTAATATTCTGTCTAGATGCTGACCGTTAGTGAAGTATATGTGTATGGGAAGAATTATTTGACTTAGAAAGATTCCTCATCAGGAGAAGCATATAAAGATGGGTTTTGTCATATCAAAAATTACTCTCGCTCTCATTATCATTGTTTCTGAGCGCCCCACCACCACTCTCGGTGTCTGACTGCTGTAATCATCATAGTTGTAATCATCATATTGTAACGAAGGTTCGCATTGAGCAGAGTGGTTAGAGAGTCAAGTTGACACGTATGCAGGCTGGTTGTGGGGTCAAGTTTTTACGCATGTAGGATTGTTTGCACTTGTGTTCTCTTTCTCTCAAGGCAACGTTTTGTAAAAGCGACTCATTGCACGCGCGTCTTATTTGTTGTTGCTCCACCTGTCAGTTCTTCGTCTCCCTGAGGTGCTAACGCTGCTCCTCTTTTGTGCCTGCTTCAATGGGCTGCAATAGGCGTGGATACGTGCCTTGTGGGGATAATTTTTCAGTTGAGAATTTGGTGATAATCGAAAACATAATCTTTGTTCGTGATGTGTTGGTGGACACTTATAGGGCACAAGATTTCTTTCAAGCCGATGCGCTAGACCTTGTGCTGGCTTACTACCACTTCTTGTCATTTTATTATGGTGTATTATATTAATTTGTTCTGTATATTTGCATTTCATATTTGTAAGTAGTGAATTCAATGATAAATTTTCTTCCCACTTCACTGTTATTTCACTTTCTTCATCTTTTACAGTTTTTATCAAGTTCGTGTTGCATTTTGTTACTTTGCATCATCGCAACGTAACAAAAATGTATTGCATTTTGTTACGTCCCACAATCGTTGCACCATCGTCCAAATTGTAGCGTTAAAGTTTGTGGCATATCTTCACTCTCGTTATTTGTTTGTGCAATATTATACGATGTTTGTACAAACAAATTATTTCCGAATAATTCTTTTATTGAGTGTAGCGGGTCGAATACGATAGGTCGAAAATTTCTTTACAAAAATTTGTATTTACTGTTCATTAGATTTAAGAGTTTTGGGCTTGTTGAGGGTTGCACATAATGCAAATTTTTTTGACTTGGGCAGTAGCTGTGGACTTACGAAGCTATGGTTTAGGCACATAAATATATAGGCTACTAATCATTCTAGCGTAATCAGATTTTCGAAAGGAATATGAACCTAAGTTTGAACTTAAGCCTTGCTGGCCGCTAATTCGTGTCCCTTTGTTCAGCCAGATTAGAGCCGGCGCTACGCATCAGGGCCTATACTTTCAAAACTCGCTAAGTGAACGTAAGTACTTACGCTCTATTTTCTTGTCTATGATTGGTGGATTTTGCTTGAAAGGCCGTC